TGTCCGTTGTAACAGATAGAACATGACCTAATTTCTTCATTTTTCGTAAATATATCCGGACACATATATCGGTGCTCTCAACTTCAGCTATCTCTTTCAAGTCAACAAATGGTTTAAAACACTGTAAGTTGAACTTTTTATTTTCATTTTACTTATTTTAATTTTTTTCTGGTTAAAACAAGCATCTAACACATTTTAAAATCATGTGAAACTAATGTACTAACGTCAGAACAACACAACGTCATTATCCAACATGGCGGAAATTGCAGACTGTTTNGCCTCCATACAACAAATTTGGTTGAAATCCGCTGACCCCCACCTTGCCACCCTGGGCTGGTTCTCTCGTGGACAAGCTCTTAACTGGTGAATGGAAAAGGTAGCGTGTGGCCTCCGGAACTTTTGCGTAATAGAGAATGTTTTTTTTTTTACGCAGGTTTCCAAAGAAAATGTCATTTCCAGAAGCACTGTTTATTATTCGTAGGAATGCAAAGGTGTAGGTAGATCAATAAGGAATTTTATTCATCAAAGTGTCATTGAGATCGAAAATCAAATTGTAGAGCCCAGTGTATTCCTGTATTAGAATCGGGATGTTCAATTGACTAGCTGCGTGAAGATTGATCTCCGGGTCTGAAGTCACCGTAGTCTCTGTATCAAGTGAAACAATTATCTCTCAAAGACAGAGAAAAAAAAAATGGCCTGGAGAACTCTGAAACCCATTTGTGATGGATTTTGATAGAAAACTAAGATGAAACCTTCGAATGAAACATCGTAGGTTTGGATCGCACTGGGAGTCTGAAAAATCTGAAATCCTTTAGTTATAATGCAGTGTAGTACATCTGTAGGACAAGTCAAGGTTTGTTCAGACAAGACCAAATTGAGACTGAAAAGAACGGGCTGACACATGCTTTCAGATGAGCAAATTGGTAAAAGTGGTAATTTACAGCCTTTTGGTTTGTTTTTTGGAGTTTTGGTTTCAAAGTTTATCCGATTTTCGATCCAAAGTTGTTGTTTTTTTTTGTGTAACTACCCCTGATTGTTATTGATTCACCGTATTAATGTAAATTCACATAGGAAAGCAATCTAAAAGCATGCAATTTATCATAAGTAAAATGACTCCGAGATTGGATGTGCTGTCTATTCAAAACTAATCATCATTTGATGCTGTACACTCTGTCTGTAACCTGATCATCTGATGACAAAAGTTTTGTCCTATTTTCGATCCGAAACAGTCCTAGTCTGAACAGATGTGAGTATGAAAAAAAAATTAGTTGAGCTAAGTGAAATTACACATGCAGGTTTAATGGAATTGGATTCACTTGCATCTCATCGCCCGTTCCTTTTGACAGAGTTCATGTAAGGCAAGAGCACAGGCGTGAAGACGGGTTTCTGGGAAAAGTTCTCTTTTTCTGAGAAGCCATGGACCATGCAGTGATGAGCTTAAATGAGTTTCACCTGATGGGGTCACCAATGGTCATCGGTGCGGCCATCCGTATGGCTATCACGAAGGATGATGGCTGCATGAGAGTTTATGTCTCTTGCCTTGGAGCGCTATTTCCTCAAGCTGTAAAAAAGGGAGAACAGTTTTTATATCATTCCTGGAAAAATGGAAATAAAATACGTGGGATTTAGTTTCAAAAGGTACCAGCACTGAAATGGTGTGAATATTGGCGTCAGTTTTCAGCGTGATTTCAATACACAAGTTTAAAGGAAGGCACAGTGAAATTAAACCGGCAGCTGCCAGACTGCTAGATTTTTTAATCTCTTCTCGATCAGTTACACACAATTGAAAATACAAATGGAACAGTGAAATCGAACCACTTACGGCAGGTGGGCAAGTGGGGAAATAAACAAGGAAGACTTTTTTTCTAAGGCCTTTCCTGGGACAAGAGATCCAAGTGCAGAATTTAATCATGGGCACAGTGTGATAGAACCACTGGCAGTCAGACAGTAGGGATTGTTTTTACAAGACCTGTTAAGGACCTGAACTGTTAGGGACAAGCCTATAGTTTGATTGCCAGAGAGAGAGAGAGAGAGTGAGAGAGAGAGAGTGATGTTGCTGACATTCTATTTGGAACTAAATAAGCTAGCAAAATGGTGTGTGTGTGTGTGTGTGTGTGTGTGTGTGTGTGTGTGTGAGAGAGAGAGAGAGAGAAAGAAGAAAATGAGAAAGAAATACCTTGCCGGAAACACGATCATAGCAATTACACCTTCCCTTCTTTATTCTATTACCTCTGGTTAACGAGCCAAGAGGGCAACAACCCAGACACTCTCAGCGGGACGCAGCCTGTAGCCCTAAGCCGTGTCCTATTGTCAGGACAAGGAAAAATATTAGCGAGGTCAAAGAGTTGAAAGTCATTCAGAACCTCTGAACCACAGAAGCCCCAGTGGATGAGGCGCAGATGGCAGTAGCGCGGTAATCTTGAAAAAGCTGACAAGGAAGCAGGGGATTTGGCTGTAAAAAAAAAAGGAAGGGGAGAAGTGATTAAGGGAAGAGAAGTTGATTACTGGTTGTATTGACAGCTCTGAAGAATGTGTGAGGAATTTTTTTTTTTTTCAATTTTCTTTGTGTCAGGGAGTTGAGAAGTTGAGAGATCTTGCTGTAAGATATGAAGGAAGGAGAGAAGTCGGTGAAAAGAGAGGGAGAAGTTGGTTACGGCATGGATATTGATAGTTCTGAATAATGTGGAAGAATTTTTTTTTTTCTTTTAATTTGTAACAATGATTTGAAAAATTGAGATCTTAGTGTGAGATAAAAAAAAAAAGGGAAGTCACAAGGAAGACAGAAACTGTTGTTGGCACATGTACTGGCAGTTAAAAATAGTATTCAAGTTTGTTTTTTATTTTATTATTTCATTACACTTAAGATAGACATTTTTAATTTTATGTCTGTGCAAAGTCAGAGAGATGTCTCTGAAGACAGCCAACTGGTAATTTTGGAGAAAGAGTCGAGAATTCTTTCTTTGGGATAAAAAGAAAGGAAAGATCGAATTCATTAGAGAGACAAGCTGTTCATTGCAAAACAGCTCTGTATATAATGTGCGAGAATATTTGGGGAAATTTGATATTGAAACGGTTGTTTTTTTAGAACAAACTTACCCCATGTTACATAGTCTTCAAATGACCTGGCAATTTAAACAGGGGATCTTATTTCGGTCGAAGTCATAACTTGATGGGTATCACTCTTTCTGATGACAGAACTGAAAGGAAATAACAGTAATTGTGAACAGCTGCCAAAAAGAAAATGAAGACACCTTACATGAGAAATATTATGACTAAAGATGTTCCGTGGTTGGCGATAACAAGTTGATGGTCATGGTTACACTGGTAATTGTGAATGATAATTCCAAGTGACTATATATATATGCCACTGGTTGGGTTGTCCATTCCCAAGGGAGGCGAGATCCTTTTAGGATTGAACAGGCCCATAAAGACTAGGCATAAATTAAAGAGAACTGTAAAAACCAGGCATAAATTGAAGAGATTCTTAAGGACCAGGCATAAATTGAAGAGATTCTTATAAGAACCAGGCATAAATTGAAGAAATCCATAAGGACCAGACATAAATTGAAGAGATCTGTAAAAACCAGTCATAAATTGTAGAAATCCATGAGGACCAGGCATAAATCGTAAAGTTTTTGTATATTGAAGATATCCAGCTGTGAGACTTAACCTTTACCACAATGGTTATAGATGCAGTGACCATTTTGAGCTTTCTGCACACCAGTGGAGATTATATTGGCCAAACTTAGAGTGTAAGAGATCCCATAGGAGACAAAAAGCCAAAACCAATGTAGCGTTAATTTTAAAAATAATGCGAAGAGTTTGATCTGTTTAGTTTTTCATTTGCCAACATGATCTTCAAAGGCAATGGCATTAAGTTAACCAAAGGTTTTAAACAACAGACTAGTTGCGAGGTTGAAATAAAAGGATTGCCCAATGCAACAAAATCTGTGAACAAAGATTGTGTCTAATTCTGCGAGAGCAGTTGATTTTGAAAATGTTTTGCCAACTCGAGAACAGGAGTGCGTCCAGGAAATATATGTATATTTCATTAAGCAACCAGGAAATAGATGTAAAGCACCTCAAAGGGAGGTGTTGATTGAAAAATATCAATCTGTGATCAATTTTTGATGTCTAAATGGGCATAATTTAGAAGTTAATTGCTGAAGAGATATGTTTGATAGAAGCCTTTTGGTTCATTAATTTGCAATGCTTTTATAGAAAAATCCTTTAGATCAGCTCATCAAATTGAAATGCACATTAAAAGAATATCCACCTGAACACATAAACACACATATATCTGATGGCATTTATTCATTGGCTAAATAAATCTTCGTCTTTTCACATATGCATATGTACAACACGTACACATAATGCACATGCATGCACACACACTTACACACACATATACATACTTACACACACATATACACACTTACACACACACATATACACACTTACACACATATACACACTTACACACACACATATACACACTTACACACATATACACACTTACACACACACATATACACACTTACACACATATACACAATTGCACACATACACACACATACACATAACATGCAGTAACGAGGGGCACCGCTGTGTTGAACATGATAAACATCTGAATATTATTGCTTACATATCAAAGAGAAAACATTTATAGTAATGGACAGATAGCGTTACCACCTAGTAGACATAATAGTTGAAAAACTATCTGCACTGTGGATTTGAAATTGTTTTACGTTGTTCAATTTCTTGTGATACTCTGGCATAAACATTAAAACTGTCTGATCTTGTATTTCACAGATATCAAACTATGGCCCCAATCCTTACATATTTTTACCTTTTAGGTATTGGAAATTTGTGAGTTTTTGCCATACAGAAGCTGCATGGTCAAGTCAACCTGACTATCTATAACGTGATAGATATTTTGCGTTGTAGTGATAAAAGTCCTCGCACCAGTATATATTATTAACACACATACATTATTTGTGGATGCATATACATCTATGTAAAAAAAAAAAGAAGTTGGAAACACCAGACAAAGCCAAGCTATTTTGCACACACTAAGATAGATGAGGGCATTGCATAGGCAGCTTAACATAGACAACTAAATCAAGAACTATCCCGGTGTATGGTGATTTCATTATCTGGAACCAATTTGCCAAAGTAACAGTTATATCACAGGTGGCTCTTGTTAGAAGGCTGCTGTTACTGTTATTTGTTGTTGCTGCTGCGGAAGTACAATGTACACTAAGCCCACAAAGAAGGGTTGTTTTTATCATCATGGGAGGTTGACCAATATAAGGCTTCTAAATCAAGGACTCTCTGGAGAAAGATAGTTTGCAAACTCAAGCCAATTTGCCATAAAAATTGAGTTATTGTTGGAGCTGAATCCAGTAAGTATTCTTTTGTCATGGCGGGGAGGCAGGTGAACAATTACGGAATGGAGAACATCTAGTAATACAACTGACTGCGGATGCTTTTAACTACAGTTTTTAGACTGGAAAACACCTGAGATGACATCTGTGAGATTTTCCGAATGTATTTTTACATTTATAGGGAGACCATAGTCTTTATTGTGACAAGATATATGAGAGCGTTGCCCTTAGCAGTTACAGCATCGTCCCAGTTGACTGGTTAGCAGACATAAATTTTAGCTATGACAGTAGATGAAATTCACTTAAAGTAGAGATACAGTTCCGAGTCTCTGCAAGATATAATGCAATAATGGAAAAGCAATGAAGGCCCAGTTTGCTTCCTGGAAACAGTAACGATGTTATCCAAGTTTGCATTTTGTTTCACGTAAACTGATTTAGTTCAATGAGTTGCAAGTGCTATTGGAACTCGATTAACTAGAAAATGGACTCTGTGTCAGAAACTGTATATAATCCTATAAATGCATAAATATTAGTAATAGCTGGCACTATAATGAATGGGAGACTGGGAGACTACACGGGTATGAATTATGGTGCAAATTGTTGTGTAAGAAGCAATTTGTTTTGTAATATGTCTGCTGAAATAATCCTGTTAAGTGTCGAGATTGGGTTTCTGAATTACCGTCTGAAAGACATACATTGTACATGTTCACTTAGTTTACTATCACGCACACATCAGGGACGACTTGTTTGTTGATATACCAGTATAATTTTTTTTTGCCAGTCAATTAAGCTGGATGACAGAAACTGAGCTCTTTTCACAGCAAAAAAAGAACTATATAATACAGATCAATTTTCTTAGTATAAAAAGTGAGGCAGTTTTGAAATTGCAGTTCTGAAATTTTTTGCTTACATGAAGATGAAGGACAATACAAATTAAATTTGCTCTACATATCTGTTTTAATAGGAATACGTGCAGTTAATGAAATTATTTCCGAATCATGTGGAAGGAAGTGCCTTAGAGAACCTGACCTGATCTTTTTTCTCTAAAGAGCAAGACAGTCTAAGTTGTTTTTTCAAAGCCAGTGGAATAAAGAACTGCAAAGCCAAAGTGATGAAGTGCTCAAAAAGATAAATAGGACTGGTAACATGATAGAGAAAATAATTTATCTAAGTGCTCGTGAAGCTGAGTATTTATTTTGGTCTTGGCACAGGGGATTTTAACTGTTGGCAGTCTTAGTTTCATCTATAACCAGGAGAATGGCTAAAGTGACGAAGAACGCGTGTCTTTTTACGATTCGGCTGGAAAAGAGGACGCAATAGAAGGACTATGTAACAAGATATACTAGACAAATGACTTGTTTATCTTTTCATCAAATGGAAGGAGGAAGTTTTTCACTGTTGTTAACATTTTACTTTTGTGACTATTGGTGAAAACGGGATGTAGCCAAGATATTATAGATGTTTGCTGAGATATTTACTTGTAACTCATATCTCTTGTCAAAAATGGAGAAAGAAAAGAAAAATTGATTGATTTCAGGAATGAGAAACTTCAGGCGGATACTTTTAAGCTCTTCACTGGAATATATTTCATGCATTCCTCTTTTAATTAAAAAAGGAGGAAAATAAGAAATTGGACGGTTTGACTGGTTTCTTTGTCCCAAAAATGGGCACAACACTATAAATGTTCCTGAGAGGCATTTGATAAAAAAATGAGAGACAGATGATTTGATATCTTTTGGTACAATGAAAGGAAAGAAAGAGACAGAAAATCAGAACGGAACTTAGAGAAACTTTTTCACGATAGCATGCTGTTTTCACCATTGGCAGTCCTATGTAAGTCCTGCCACAAGCCCAAGCAGTGCATAACTCCCATTTCAGCAGGGCATAAATCCCATTTAATGCCCAATCAACAGAAGAGCAAAACCAAGCTGTGGAGCCCCCTGGCGGTCATAAAAGGGGGCAGCACTAGTGCTTTGCCTAACAGAGGTAGGATATTATGAGAGGGAAAAGTTTTGGGTAAAAGGGAAGAATTAAATGTTTCGGGGTACTTAGATTTTGTGATGTTGAAATGAAAGGAAGGTTTGTAGCCAGGTGTTTCAAAGGGGGTGGGGTATTTTATTTTACTGAAAAATAGACTGTTTATGGTAAAGCCTGTGTGTGCTCAGAAAACCTAGATGAAATTTTGATGAAGAGCAGAACCTTTTTTCGGTCAAAAGGATTGTTTCTACTAATGCCCCCCCCCCCTCCCTCTGAAGCCCCTGCCTACAAACCTGATTCAGTGATTTTGTACAATGTAAGAGGGCATTCACATTGAGAAGAGCCGAGGTCTAGCAAGGCCGAGACCTAATATGGTGGACCTACATGAAAGGAAGACCACTTAATCCTTTAATGGCTCAATAACATTCATTGAATGCTCTCTTAGCCAGTTTTGATTAAAAAAAACCTACTGAATTGGTTTTGGCATCTTGGGCTGGTTGTCCCAAAATATTTAAAAGCTAAATTCAGTCTTAATTTTTTATAGATCAAACAAATTTTTGACTTCAGTTTGTTTTTTTTAAACTGACGAAACATCCAATGCATCACGAAATTTCATTTTTAAACTTTTTAATAGGAAATTTGATTTTCATTGTACTGAACAATTGGTGATAATTTTGTGCCATAACTCTCTATGTCTTAACTCTTATTCAAAATAAGTGAATGATCATTTGATGGGTGCATGATATCTGGACCCAATAACACACAGGAATAGCATACATCAAATTACGTAGAAGGCGACAAAATTAAGATGCAATATTTCCACAGTGTTGCCCATAAAGGACAATTTCAGGACAAATTCCATCCTAATAAATGCCATTTTAAAGCTTTGGGAAAGTCTAGTCGAAACCAGTATTAGCAGGGGACTTAACGCCGCTGAAAACTTGGTTTGGGAATCCTTTATTATTAGTGACATCATATCGACTGAATATTAGAGGTTTAGTATTAGGCGTGTTCCAGAGCAAATTATTTCGACCAGGTCATATATCATACCGAAAGAGAGTGGAATGCTTCGATAATCGGAACACAGGTGGGCCTGGGAGCAATTCATCTGAGACAAACGGGAATTTGATGGAGAATTATATAATCAGAGCCAATAAAAGCAATCCAGCAGAGGCCTGCCAAGATAATGATATTTATTAATGGACCATATAGAAAGTTCATAGAGAGAATTATAGGAATTGAGGGGTTATTTATAAGAGTGTTGTTAGAGGAACAGGCAATTTTCAGGGAAACTTTCAGTTAAATGTAGGTAACGTTAGAGAATAAGGTTTTTTATGTGATGCTGCCATGGTGAATATTATGTTGTCATGGTGACAGCCATGTTGTCATGGTAACTGTCATGTGGTCAAGGTGACTGCCATGCTGCCATAGTGACTGTGAAACTTTGCAGGGCAATGATGACAAAAAAAAAAAAAAAAAAAAAAAAAATCATGAATATTGTTCAGTCAAAAAGATCCAGCTTCGATTTGGGGAGAGGGGATGGTCAAAGGGGGAATGGCATATTATCTGAGTGGCATTGACTAGAAAACGAAGAAAAACTTTTTTGCTAGAGAGAAAAAAAATCAGACAGATTTTTTTCCTGTAATTACTTGTTTGTTTGTTAGTTTGCTTGTTTGTTTATTTTCCCTAAAATTAAATAACAGCTGGATGTTAATTTGAATAGGTAAATGAAACTTGATCATGATAAAAAGAATTACGAATGAATTAGGGCAGTAGAGCTAGGTGGCGCCAAGCCTGGGATTGGTTGTCATGATGGCTTGTTTCAAAGATAACGTGACACCGCAGGTTTTTATAGATGGCTTGACAGCCTGTCTTATTGCCCATGGATACTTCTCAACTTTGTCACAACAACTCCGGGACCCTTTTTTTTTTTCACTGAGAGATTTTTTTTTGTTTTTTACCTCTCAGACAAGGTCAAGGTTAAACAGCTTGTACCAGTAATTGCTACTATCATGATTTATTTTATTCTAGACTTAAAAATGTAATGCATTTTGATTTTTACATTTTAATATCTTGATATTTTATTGACTGAATGGTTGTTTATGTGATAAGAGGCAACAGCACTGCGGGTGGTAGGGTAAGATGTCTCGTGTGATGCATGATTCAGAAACTGGTGCTTGCACGCTCGCCATTTTTGCACGCCTGAGGCAAACAGCACTTGAATTCTTTTAAAATTTTTGAAGTAAACACATTTCTGTGGTCAGGTTGTTTTGAACCTAATTTTTTCTAGAAAAATAACAAGGTCTTTGAAATTGACACAACTGGGTTACCACAAATATACGGAGTAGACCACAAATGAAACACGATACCTGGATGCTTCTCCCGCAACAGAGATTTTGTGGGAAATACTTAGGGATGATTGCTTTCAGAAAAAAAAAGTAATTAAGTGTATAGTAAACACTGAACAAAGAATGAAGGGTTTTAAAGCGTGGTCAATATGCTGTAAATTAAAAGTGGTTTTCACTTGTTTGAAAAACAAGTTTAATTTTTGTATGGAATTTTCTCAGTATTTGGACACCGTTAATCAATGATTTTCCTCGTACAGAATTTGTTTTTACTAACTCTTTCAATTTGCTGATTTGAAAGTTGAAAGTTTTGCAAAGTTAGTTGGCTTGGTTTACAAAGGTACATCAAGAAATTTTTTTCAAAAAAAGTAAAAAAAAAGTAAAATCAATAGAAAAAGAATGGTGTTTGAAAGAGTTGGGTAATTGCCATACAAAAGAATTTCCCCCTGTTGTGTAGGAAGTGGTTCATTGGTTGGATTGCACTCTAATTCATCTAAGGATATCAGCGTAATCTAATATTTCATTANTTTTCGGTCAAAAGGATTGTTTCTACTAATGCCCCCCCCTCCCTCTGAAGCCCCTGCCTACAAACCTGATTCAGTGATTTTGTACAATGTAAGAGGGCATTCACATCGAGAAGAGCCGAGGTCTAGCAAGGCCGAGACCTAATATGGTGGACCGGGGTCATAGCGATAGTCCGAATGTTCAATAGTCCGAAGGTTCATTGGTCCGAATGTTCACTATAGAACCTTCGGACCAATGAACCCTTGATTAAAAAATCGATGAAAATGTTACCACTTTTCGGACCAATGAACCTTCGGACTATCGAGACGCCCCCTGTGGACCTACATGACAGGAAGACCACTAAATCCTTTAATGGCTCAATAACATTCATTGAATGATATCTAAACCAGTTTTGATAAAAAAACCTACTGAATTGGTTTTGGCATCTTGGGCTGGTTGTCCCAAAATATTTAAAAGCTAAATTCAGTCTTATTTTTTTATAGATCAAACAAATTTTTGACTTCAGTTTGTTTTTTTTAAACTGACGAAACATCCAATGCATCACGAAATTTCATTTTTAAACTTTTTAATAGGAAATTTGATTTTCATTGTACTGAACAATTGGTTATAATTTTGTGCCATAACTCTCTATGTCTTAACTCTTATTCAAAATAAGTGAATGATCATTTGATGGGTGCATGATATCTGGACCCAATAACACACAGGAATAGCATACATCAAATTACGTAGAAGGCGACAAAATTAAGATGCAATATTTCCACAGTGTTGCCCATAAAGGACAATTTCAGGACAAATTCCATCCTAATAAAAGCCATTTTAAAGCTTTGGTAAGGTCTAGTCGAAACCAGTATTAGCAGGGGACTTAACTCTGCTGAAAACTTGGTTTGGGAATCCTTTATTATTAGTGACATCATATCGACTGAATATTAGAAGTTTAGTATTAGGCGTGTTCCAGAGCAAATTATTTCGACCAAGTCATATATCATACCGAAAGAGAGAGGAATGCTTCGATAATCCGAACACAGGTGGGCCTGGGAGCAATTCATCTGAGACAAACGGGAATTTGATGGAGAATTATATCATCAGAGCCAATAAAAGCAATCCAGCAGAGGCCTGCCAAGATAATGATATTTATTAATGGACCGTATAGAAAGTTCATAGAGAGAATTATAGGAATTGAGGGGTTATTTATAAGAGTGTTGTTAGAGGAACAGGCAATTTTCAGGGAAACTTTCAGTTCAATGTAGGTAATGTTAGAGAATAAGGTTTTTTTTATGTGATGCTGTCATGGTGAATATTATGTAGTCATGGTGACAGCCATGATATCATGGTAACTGTCATGTGGTCAAGGTGACTGCCATGCTGCCATAGTGACTGTGAAACTTTGCAGGGCAATGATGACATGAGAATTATGTTGTCCTAAAAAAAAAAAAAAAAGAAAATCATGAATATTGTTCAGTTAAAAAGATCCAGCTTCGATTTGGGGAGAGGGGATGGTCAAAGGGGGAATGGCATATAATCTGAGTGGCATTGACTAGAAAACGAAGAAAAACTTTTTTGCTAGAGAGAAAAAAAAATCAGACAGATTTTTTTCCTGTAATTACTTGTTTGTTTGTTAGTTTGCTTGTTTGTTTATTTTCCCTAAAATTAAATAACAGCTGGATGTTAATTTGAATAGGTAAATGAAACTTGATCATGATAAAAAGAATTACGAATGAATTAGGGCAGTAGAGCTAGGTGGCGCCAAGCCTGGGATTGGTTGTCATGATGGCTTGTTTCGAAGATAACGTGACACCGCAGGTTTTTATAGATGGCATGACAGCCTGTCTTATTGCCCATGGATACTTCTCAACTTTGTCACAACAACTCTGGGACCTTTTTTTTTTTTTTCTCTGAGAGATTTGTTTTGTTTTTTACCTCTCAGACAAGGTCAAGGTTAAACAGCGTGTACCAGTAATTGCTACTATCATGATTTATTTTATTCTAGACTTACAAATGTAACGCATTTTGATTTTTACATTTTATTATCTTGATATTTTATTGACTGAATGGTTGTTTATGTGATAAGAGGCAACAGCACTGCGGGTGGTATAGGGCAAGATGTCTCGTGTGATGCATGATTCAGAAACGGGTGCTTGC